GACGAATATCCGTGTGGAACGAGAGAACTCAAAAAATCATAGGAATTAAATGTTTATCATTATTGACTTTTTTCAGGCATGCGCCACAAGATGAAAAGTCGCCTTTTCAAACGGTGAATAAATTCAATTCTCCAATGTTAAAATATACTCGATTGTCAAATCAAATTCAAAAATATTATTGTTGATGGAGTGGTAATTATTTAATGCACTAATTAAAATGGAAGGTACCCTTACGAAATTGAAGCTAATAATGGAATATCGTAATTAAATTAGTACAGTGTAGTTAAAGTTTGTTGTATTTCAATTTTGTTATCAAAATAAAATTATTTAAAATCTCTTTTTTCAATTCTATACATCTATTAACTTTACAATAGTAATATAATTCATAAAAAATTGCACATTTTAACAAAATCCAATGACGAAGTTCAAAAGTATCAGTTGTATCAGGTGAATCTGTTTCAGTCAAAATAATTTTACGACCCTTTCTTTCTAATATAGACACAATTTTCTTTGCGGCTCTCTATTATTTTCGTCCCAGTGAAGTTGCTAAAACAAGTATGGATTATTATAGAAGTCATTGTTTGATATGAAAAAACGATACAAGAAAGACGCCAGCTGCATTTATTGTCAGGCATTGATAATCATTCTATTGGGTAGTTCTGGTATCAAATGGAAATATTAAAAATCTTTTATGAATTCAAATAATTGAAAACTCGTTCAAAACATTCACAATCGTTAAAATAGACCAAGATTCAGTCTCAGCTCGATTCATTTCTGTAAGCTCATAATCTCATCGAAATTTATGTCATCGTTCGTAGTAATTATGATATCGCCTAATATTTTAATTTTTAATATCGTTACACGGAAAAAGTGTGAACATTTCTAGAGTACTTGACACGCTTCGTTAATAGTTGGTCTCGTTGCTGAAAGTAATTTCTCTCTAATTTTTTTGCAGGTCAGCGTACATAAAATGCGTGAAAAAGTTCATCTACGGTTGCTTCATAGTACCCGATTCAATTAGGCAAAAACAACACACCGTTGGTCATATAACTGTAGATAAAGATTAAGTGCCGCGAGGCACACGTTATTATTTCATCGTATGTTTTCAACCTACTGTAATTTTACCTGTACGCTTTATCTTCGAAGTTCACCAAAAAGAACCAACTTGAAAACAAAAATATTAAATTCAACTTGAATTGTTTTAACGTTTTCAGAGAGCTGCAGGTGCCGGGCAGAAAAACACTGGAAAACTGAACGTATAAAATGTACTTTGGTATATTCTGAAGGTTTTTCGCATCCGGAAAAAGTTGTAGTTTCAATACTTGAAACGTTTTGTAAAATACTTATGCTTACTTTCGAGAAGCTAAGTAATAGAAGAACAGCAAGAAAAAATAAGTATTACCAATTGACAAATATTTTATGAATTCAACATTACAGATGTCGATATAGAAATATAGAAAATTCGTGTAAAAATGTAGAACTCGAAAGAAAAAAAGAAGATTTATAAGAATCTTTGTTAAATAAGTAGAGCTCGAGTCGATGATATCTTTTTTTTTTGTTGTAACTTTTCTTTAAAGTAATAAAGACTTGGACTATCTTTATTTTCTTCTATAATAGTATAAATTACCACATCACAGAGGAGCTTTTACAAAAACATACATTTATCTTTGTACATAACATAAACAGTTACGGGCAGCTTTTACGCCCGTAGAAGGGATTTTAAGGAATTTTGCGGATGCGGCATGTTTCTTCATGGGCGTATTTAGCTTTGTATAATACTATACCGCTACCACCACTACTAAACTGCCTGTACTCACAAAGGAAACTCGGCATTTGTGTCTGTGTGTATTTGCTAACTTCTCTCTCAGTCGTTTACCGTGCTCAGCAGATACTCGCGCACATATACACACACTCATATATATTCTTGTGCGTACCCGCGCGCGAAGGTAGTGTAGCACACACCGCAGCAGTCGTGTAGGACAGCGATACATGGATTACTATACATACGCGGCATACATACATATATGCACACAACTGTAAACTGTGGCATCGCCTGTAATACCGAAGCACACACGTTCACGATAAATAAGACAAGTGCTCGCAATTCTCCTCTTTATATACTATACAAACCCACAACGGTAATGTATACGTATATGTGCTTGCTGGCGCCTTTTTTTTTGAGCTTTCGGAAAATTTTTCGTTCTCATTCAAGTTGAGATGTCGCAGATAGCTCTTGCCTGTCAGATTTCTTTAGATACAAATGCAAAGAGTTACTGTCAACTAAATAAAATTTTTTTATTTTATCTCAGTAATGTCACTTAGCTATAGAGTATTGATGGATTTATTGATAAATAAGAAAGAAAGTTAGGAAATTAAATATTTTTCAAAAGAGATTCGTTTGTTTCGAGTTTATTCAAAGTATGCAAGTTTAAAGATAGTATCAATGTTAACTGTATAATATAGAGTTAATACAAATGGCCACTTTTAACCCATGTAGAAATACTTAACTTTTTATGGTTAATTTTTGGCCAATCTTCTTTTAGATTCCTTTTTTAAATCCTCTTGTAGAAAGTATACGAAAAGAAGTGTCGAAAGTTAATGAGCGTTTTAATTGATTGATAGAATGGTGATGCAGAATATATCATTTGTTGTCTATTAACAATGTGGTGTGTTTTGATTAATTTCCTATAGGAAACATTAGCGAGTCACGGAAAAAAAGATGTAGACTTAGAAGCGCACGACAGTACCTGCACCTATTGATAATATTTCTCATAAAATTATCCGTAATTTCTTCGTATGACAGTACAAAAACCGTACTTTGACTTATAGAATTATTTTTACTTTACCACTTGCAGATTCACAGAAAAAAGTACTCGCCATCATTGGCCAGTGGAGGCGATTTGGAAACGCACTATCGTATTCAAAGGGATTGAAATCTGGTCTAAATATTTTAAAACAATTAAATTGTCATTTTTCGTTCATTTGAAGTTCACTTAATATTTGTACATTTAAACATTTTTTAAATGGTCTTGTTCAAGTTCAAAGGCCACAATTAATTTGGAGCATTGTTGACAGGAAAGCTTCTTTTGTGTATTTGTACTCATGAATTAAATAATAAAACAACCTTTACGTATCTGAGTTGCATAATTGCACTTGAGTAACTGCAACGTTTGAACATTAGTAAACGAATACGATACCAAGATAAATATAATTATCATTTCAATAATTCTTTACAAACCAAAAATATTATTTGATCGAACTTGATGATGAGTAAATTTGAAGTAACATTTGCATATTGATTATGAGCATCAATCATTAGGCAAATGAAAACGAACAGTCGACTCGTTGTTTCACAGTTTTTGCAAAGTTGGCAAATCTTTCAATGACTTTCAAATTCGTTATTTCCTTTCAAAAATGTGCAATTTAAATTGTACAGTTACAATAAACTCGCGCGCAAAAGTAGTCTGAAATCTCATCAATGTCTCTTTAAATGCCTTAATGGTCGAATCAAGCTCCGAATTCTGGAAACGTACCGAAGCAGCGCCCCACAGCCAGCATCGGCAGCAGCAGCAGCAGCAGCGACAGTGCCACGATACGTCACCACCGAAGAGAACACAATAGGCACGATAATTCACGCGTTCGCCTGCATAATGTTACCCGCGTACCACTGCTGCCGTTCCTTCAATACGAAGCGCGAATATCGTATAAGCCGCAGTTTCGCCGCGCGGGCGCGCGCATACACACACGTACAGAGAGACATGCGCTGCACATCCACACACACGACACATGCACGCACTGCTCCTCACGTGTGATTGCTTCCTTTCGTGTATACTATATGTGGGTGTGCGCTGTTGTTTGCTTCTGCAGAGTAGGAGACGTCTCTATTTTCTCGTGCGCATATACACGTACACGTACTAGCTTACGTTTGTAGCAGTCAATCCTCGAACTCGGGGATAAAATACCCGGGGAACATAATGCAAAACTCGTACACGTATGTGTGGCTGCTCGGGCGAGCATAAGATACGATAGCGTCAGCAACTTCACGGCTGCGCTCGAGAGAGAAAAGAGCTTTTTTTCCATTTTGCGCAGCCTATCCGTATATAGAATGGACTGGGGATGTTAAAGCTGAGGATGCCGCATTGAAACGGCAAAATAAGCCGGGTGATGCATTGTTTATTGAAAGTGAACGCAGGACAGGTCAGTGAATGTATTGTTGTATAGGAGCGCGCAGCTCGGTTATGCTCCGAGCATCGAGCAAGTACATAGAAGTAGGCGATAATAACGATACGTACAGTCCGTGCCGTGATTATCCGAGTAGCTTATTATGCTCTTCTAATCATTCGGAAAGTATAGGGTCTATACATAGCGCGCAGGTACGGACTAACTCCGGCGAGCTCTTGGCCTTGTAGCGAAATACTTGAGGGATTTCGAACAATCTCTCTCTCGCTGCGGCCGTTGTAGCTGGCTCGCGCGTGCATATACGGCCATGATAATGGCGATATGCCATGGGCTAAGCCGATCGATGAATTTACTCGGCTCGCCCGAATGTACTGCGTGGATAAAAGTGATCATTGTGTGCGTGCGCGAGTTTAATGTATTCTCTCTCTCTCTCTCTCTCTTTCTCGGCCCACTTGGCTGTATAATGAGTGCCCTGTTGGATAATACTGTCACGATGATGGGAAGCTTTTAAGCCCATCGCGCGCCAACGGCTATGTACGCGCTGTTTTTTGATGACTCTGGGATATTCTGTTTTATTTAGATTTTAATGCGTCGGCGAGGTAAGCGTTAGCGAGCGACCGAGAGAATCATCCATGTTTGCGTTAACACTGCTATATACAGCGAAGATATTTCTTTGCTTTTTAAATCATTTTTATTACTGCTTTAATTTTCCGAAGTCAGAATTGTATTCAACGCGTATAAATACGATAGCAAAGCAAAGATATTTTTATGCTAAAATCGCTGGGAAGATAGGGATTTTATTTATCGGATATAAAACTCACCTGTAGACTGGCTCGCGGGTGGAGTCTTTGAACCAGAGCACCATCGTCACGGAGTCGTTGCTCTCTTGGGGTTGTATATCGCATGGAAGAGTAGCCGTTTGACCTCCCACTCCTTGCACCGCAATGGTACGTACTGCAATGAAGAAGAAATATAATCAAAATTACTATGTCCATCCACTTTCTGTTTATTTATGTAATTACATCAGAATAGTAATGTGATTTTAGTGTTTTTCTGATTTATGACATAAATGTAATTCATGTGAAAATAGTCAACTGGCTCTAACTCAATGATTGCATTCCATTCTAATTGTTTTCTTTGAAAAAAAAGAACAGGACCCCTGCATCAATCTATTTGACGTTCTTCCCAATGCATATCAGAAAGCAGGTAAAAAACCAATGCCATAGAGCTCGTTGGAATGTTCAATTAAAAAGATAAAACAGCGAAGTGTGCGGGGGGATGCACGTATGAATGCGCGCGCAAGTGTCTAAATCACTTACACACTCTCTCTCTCTTCTCGAGGAAATGCAATTTTGCTGTTCAAGTCCGTTCGAGCGTAGCTTCAAGTTAACAAAGCTCGGCCTTGCGTGCAATAGCTCGGCTCTTATACAGGGTGGGGAATAAATATGGAAACCCCTGGAAATTTCGCAGAATAAGTTGGGAAAAAAAATCAAAAACCTTATATCCGACGTATTTTTTCACGGGGAATCCAATGGTGACCTTGAATTTGACCTTGAACACGACCTTCGAGCTCCAGTGACCCAAAAATCGATTTTTCAAATGTAACCCCCATTTTTTATTGCAGATTTGAAAAGAACACAAAATTTCACGTCAAAATGTATGTTTTGTTTTTTTTTTCAAGGTCATTTTAAGGGCGTTACAGACGCAAATAAAACCCAAATTTAACCTAAAATTAAGTTCAAATAAGGGCTTTTTTTCTCATTGTACCGCCTCCTAAATGACCTTAAAAAAAAAAACAAAACATACATTTTGACGTGAAATTTTGTGCTCTTTTCAAATCTGTTATAAAAAATGGGGGTCACCGTGCGAATAATCGATTTTTGGTTCACTGTAGAGTATAGGTTATGTTCAAGGTCAAATTGAAGGTCACCATTGAAAAGAGTGGAAAATTTTACGTGAAAATATGTATTTTGTTTTTTTTTTCAAGGTCATTTTAGAGGCAGTACAATTAGAAAAAAAGCCCTTACTTGAACTTAATTTTAGGTTAAATTGGGGTTTTATTTGCGTCTCTAACGCCCTTAAAATGACCTTGAAAAAAAAAACAAAACATACATTTTGACGTGAAATTTTGTGCTTTTTTCAAATCTGCAATAAAAAATGGGGGTTACATTTGAAAAATCGATTTTTGGGTCGCTGGAGCTTGAAGGTCGTGTTCAAGGTCAAATTCAAGGTCACCATTGGATTCCCCGTGAAAAAATACGTCGGATATAAGGTTTTTGATTTTTTTTCCCAACTTATTCTGCGAAATTTCCAGGGGTTTCCATATTTATTCCCCACCCTGTATAAAGTTATAATAACGTGTACTCATATACACGCACGTATAGTCGTGCGCTGCAGCCACACGCGTGCGGTACTTTTATTAAAATTCACACACCTCACTTATGCCAAAACAAGCAAAAGTGTTTCACGACGACGGCTGCTGCTGCTAGAATTTGCATTTTTTTTATAGTGCAAAAATTGTACATACACTTGAAAGAATTTCGACTTCCACGGATTCGTTCGTAACGCTGGACGCAAAATTAAAATGATTTACTGCACGCAAAACGCAGGTATACACAGTGTGTGTATTACACACACCACACAGATTTAGATTATATCGGCGTTCGAGTTTCGATTTCAACAGTACTTGTTTCCGAGCTATTTCACGTGCAGAGGCTCATAAATCGACAAATCAAATCGTAACGTTAGCCATTACGCAATTGCGAGCCGAGGCAGCAGCGGTAGAAGCAGCACTACTAGGAGTAGCCGTCAACGTGTTTTGCGAGAAGTACTCGAGCTTCGTAAGATCGAGCCATTCATACCCAAGAGGCTTCTCTACCTCCGCAACCCAGCCCTTCTCTCTTTAAATCTCCATGGGCTTTTATATTTTATATACGACGATATATACGTTTTTACTCGTTGCGCGCCTGCACTCAGGAGTAATATATATGGGCTATGTATACGGCGTATGATATACATCGCGATATCTCGCTGCGCGCGGCGCTCCATGCGTCTACGTCGCTTCCTGTTGTGTATAACCTGCGAGGGTACTTTTATCAAGAATGTGTACGTGTGGCTCCTATACAAGGGCCCTTTTAAAAAGAACGGCTTGAAAACATTTTCTTGAGTATCGCTTGACCTTTTTTCCGAAGCTCTCTCTCGCATGCGATGCGGAGCTGCGTTCGCAAGTATGCGTGTGCGCGGAGCCCCGTTTCCCACACACATACTCGCGATCGAATATAATATACGCAAAGTCTTTAAAGGAAACTTCGTCCATACATGGCGGGTTAATATGCGAAGGCAGTATATGAAGGATTGTGTGCCTGTGTGTACGTGTATAAAATCTGCATTGTCAATGTATCCATACAACTCGATACGCCGAAGCGCTCGAACTTTGAAGCGCTTTTTGTTTATACATCCGCGTCTCGGTCTGACATGGCAAGAGAATTGAATTTTACTACATCGCGAGCTTATATCGAAAATCTATAAGAACGGAACATAATTGCATATTTATATTTTACGAACTCAATGGAGACAAAAATTAATGCTCGATCATTCTCGAAAGACTAGAATTCCACGTTATAGAAAATTAATAACTCGACTTTGGCATGTGTGTGTGTGTGTGTGTGTGTGTGTGTGTGTGTGTGTGTGCGGCGTAAATATAATATACGATGCTTAAACTTCTCACTGCGACTCGGGCTAAAACTAGATGATTATTTTTACCCGGCCGACTGTTTGAGTTCATTTCAAAGGCAAATATTCCTCTCGGAGGATAATTCTTTTTAAGCATGCAAATAGCGGAGTAATGAGCGCGCTGCAGCTAGCACACACACGCACACACACACACACAGAGCATCAAATACGCACTCATCGATGCGCAGCTTTAATAAGTACAAAATATGCATGCATAATATTCAAGGAGGGATGCGCCGTAAACAACAAGAATGCGAGCGCGCGCGAGCGCGAACGATGGAAGGGAATATTGAATATGCAATTGAGAGTGGCGGTGTATACGATGTATGCAATATACATATAACTGCATTGAGCGCGCGCGAGCTGCTGTACAGCTATATGGGAGATAAGTTCAAAGCTACCGCGCAGTTCGATGCTTTCGGTCGGAGCGGGCTAATTGAGTGCGCGCGATTGCGGTCTGGCTCTAATGAGAATCATAATCACTTACCCCTCTACGTATATACATTGTCTGTCTGTATATAATGTACATTATGTGTGTTTTGTTATGTACGCACGCGTATCTGGAGAGCAGCCTCCCTATACCTTCGCGCTGCAAGCACACAGTTGTATTAGAAAGTTTTGGGCGAGAGAGAGAGAGAGAGAGAGAGAGAGGAGCCTTCGGAAGGGAGGGAGTTTCCTCGAGCTGCCTGGAAGGAATTTCGAGAGACAGCATTCTTGTACTTCGGGGGGAGCTTGCACACGCGTCTTGCAGCGAGAGCGGCGCATTATAGCTTTCACCGCCTGAATCAGTTGGCAGGGCGGCTGCGGCGGAGAGTGCGGATGCACATCCTGCGCGCATTGTATACGTCTCCACGCACTCTCTCTGTCTGGCTGGCTAGCGCTGCACACACGCCCAATTAGCGCACGCTTCGGTAATTACGAATATTTGTGGTGCGCAGCTGCTCAAGGAATATCAGAATTATTAGATAATCGAGCCAGCGAGCAAGACTGATTTCGTGTTATGCGTAAAGCCTTGGCAACCAGCTCAGGACTGTATTGATTTACTTTTGATTTTTCAGGAATAGTTATTAATTTAAAATAAGGTAAATTCTACCAAATTAATATACTTGACTTTGTTACTTGCAGTTTTGCAGATAAAGGTGTACTCGCCATCTAGCGGTGGAAGCTTCAAGTGGTTTTCCATACTCAAAGTGATTGAAAACTGGTCCAATTTTTTTTTTGAAATAGTTCAATTGTCATTTTTTTAATTCATGATATAAAATTTTATCAAGAAAAATCGGCGGAAACGAACCAATTAAGGTTTCGAAAACATTTTGAATGGTATTCTTTTGGTTATTAGGCCGTAATTAATTGAAAACACTTCTACCACGGAAGTAATTTTTATAATTACGACTCATGAAACAATATTCAGTCATTCGAAGCGCAATACAAAAATCATCAATATCGAGCCGATGTATTAAAAGGCAAGAATCGTCATCATATATCATGGGACAGTGGAGTGCGATCAAAGAATTGAGGCGACAAGTGCATCGTAGCGCGAAAAAAGGCACATAGCGTGAATTTCAATTGACATGGTGTGTAGTGTAACACACAGCCGCAGACGCAATAAATATACAGCTGGTAAATGTGAAAAAGCTGTCACAGCCAAAGATGACAATGTCTCTGGTCAGCGAAAAAAACATCATATCACTACGTTGCTCCCTCCCTCCCTCCCTCCTTTTCATTCCCTGGCTCATGCACCCTTGACCAGTATGAGTATAGGCCGGTGTGCGTCACACGGGGGCTATATTGCCGTCCAGCCCAGCTGCACACTATACGCATATAGAACGCCAGTGATGTACTAGAGAGCAATGCTGGTAACAAAGCATGAAATCAATCAATCGTGAATCAGTCGGGCACTCGATCGTTCGGTGCCCTGCACACAGCGCAGTTAACAGTGGAACGAGTAAAAAACCTATATAAACGTAAAATTGTGCACGTTCAGGCACACACTCATACACACATACGCACGTACATATAATATGAGTTTTGCACGATATTTGGCGTCGAGCTCGTTGGCTTTATAAATTAGATTCTCGTACAAAATTGCGGATTCTCATATCGGATAAAGCAAATTTTGGGCGTCGTGTCGAAGAAGTTATTAGCTTCAAAAGCGAGATACGTATATAAGATGAGCGAGCTTATATAAATATATAGATAGCTTTGGCGCTGTAGCTCACCTA